GATTTTATACACTAAAATAATTTGCGATACAGAAAAAATTTGAATATAGTTTTATGTGAATTTATTATTCATAACAATAATAATAATAAATTTAATATTTTTCTCTCTTTTCATTATTATATTAAGAACCAATAAAATTATATTATAGAAATAAAAATATTAAAACAATAATATTTGAAAAAAATATATAATTTTGAAAATATTGTTATATAAATTTTATGCTATATAAAATTTGAATAATAATTGTGTTATACAGATTTCATATATGATTTAAGATTTATTAATATAATATCGACCATTAATTCATAAGATAAAATAAATTTAAAAATTAAGTTTAAATTTAAATTGGAGAATAAAATTCATTTTATTAAAAAAATATTTTACCTGTGAAATATTAGGTAGGCCAAACAAAAATGATATAACACATATTAAAAGTACTAACATTTCATGACATGTTAAATGACGTTTTACCCATTTCGGGAAGCCATCTTGTATCGATGTTACAACAACTTCCACTATTGCAAACTGAAATTATCGTAAAAATTATAATATAAAAAGCAAACTTATTTATCCATTGTTAATATTATCTATTCATTAATAATATTTTATTATTATTATACAAGTGATATTAATTAAATAAGAAATCATCACGTACCTGACTATTCAAAGAAAGGCAGACTAGCATAAAGAAAAATAACACGGCCCACACTTGCGATGCTGGCATCTTGGCTAACGCTTGCGGGTAAAGAACGAATACGAGGCCAGGTCCTTGAACGGAAATTATGATTTGTCTATAAAATTGTAGGAGAAGTTAATCTGACATTGATTGACACCAAGATAAAAAAATAATTTTATTATATTTTAATAAATAATTATTAATTGCATAATGAGATAATATTTTATTTTTATTAATAAAAAATATATATTCAAAAAATATAAAATTTAATTTTCCATTAAATTTATCAAAATAAAAAATACTATCACTATCATAATTTAATATTTATATTTATTTATGAACTATATATCTAACTACAGTATGTTCTTTGTTTGATAATATTAAGATTATATATAATTATAATTGCTAAATAAGAGATACAACTTTTTACGTACCATCTGTTAAAACATCTTCGACAGACATATTTTGTTCGAGAGCAATGTTGCCGATAGTAGCAAATGAAAATATTCCAACAAGTAAGCTGCTAAAACCGTTTATGAGTGAAACAGCCATAGTGTCTATTAGGATGGTGTTATGGAATTTGTTGTAACTCGCGAAACATATCATCGAACCAAACGCTATGCCCACGGAATTGAAAATTTGAGCGGTTGCATAGATCCAGACCTATACACAAGAATTATTCGATTAAATAATTATTATAATTTATATTATTTTTTTTAAAGAAAAGTTATATTTACTTTTTTTTAATTGATTTTTTATAATTATTACGAGTTATATATCTTAATATTCATTATATATCATTTTCATAATATATTATAATTGTTAATATAAAAATTTTTATTTAAAAAGATACGATATTATTATTTTTAAAAGATTACAAGCGAATTTTGAATTTTCTTATAACAATTTTTTAATTAATGAAAGAAATTATTCAACATGACATGTAATAAAATATATTTTTATGATATTACATTAATTACTTAATTAATTAGAAAAAATAAGCTGATTCAAGAATATTTTGCTCGTTTTTAATAATATTGAAAAATGTTTCAAATAAATATTGAATAATGCAGAGAAACATATAATTTGATTAATAACTTTTTTGCATTATATAACATATAAACATATCATATGAAAGATATGAAAAAAAATGATGTTTTCCTTGTTTTTCATATATAATAATTTATAAAATAAAAATGTATCAAATTAAAACATTTTCTAAATTAATAATTTTTGCCTAAAATATTTAAATTAAATTAAATTTTCATTTCAAGAAAAAAAAAGATAAACATCTAATTAATATCTAATATATTATTTTTACGTATTTATAATGTAATTATAATATACTGCATTAATTTTATCCTATTAATGTAATTTTATATATCAACATTTTTTTCTGTTACCAAAACCAAAAGAGATGTTCAAGATGATCAAAGTAATTTCGTTTCGTTCCGTACTCGATACAGAGTATCACGTTTAAAATATCCCAGATCTTGCGTAATATTTTATCAAGTAACATAGTACGTATCTGTCATCAAAGAGCGAGGGGAAAATTCTTGGATTACCTTCGCGTCGGCGAGCAGTTCCCAACGAGGGTGGAAGAAAAATTGCAGACCCTTGTCAGCACCTTCAAGCGTAAGGGACCGCATGAGGAAGACGACGATTAAAAGAAATGGCAGAGTTGCGGTCAGGTATCTCACTTGTGCCGATGATTTGATGGACTTCCAAACGGAGAAATATACCATGATCCAAGCGGTGATCAGACAAGCAATCAGTTCCCATCTTAATGGCCCTGATTCTTCGATTCCATTACTAATTTGGAGTACTTTGTTGCTAAATTGACGAACGACAAGAAAGAAATAAATATTCACGATCGATTTTAAATATCGAACTGTGTCGATTAACTTTCGCACAGAATATTTATAATTAAATTAATATTGAAGAAACTAATTCTGACTCGTGAAAATTTATTTTATTAATGCCAGAATGTTTCGACAAATGATTTTATAATTAAAGAAATTACTCGAAAAATTCTTCGGCTGGAGTTCTTGAAGCGTTTGGTCTTGTTCTATTATCGATGCCACTGTAAGTAGGTAACCAGCATGCCAATGTGTTCCATGAATTTTCGCAGTCGGACCATGGTTGCTTTGCTCTGAACGCCGTAAAGAAATAATATATAGCGTAGGCTATTATGACGTTATGGTAAGTCGACATCAAAAATGATATTACTACCGAAGACAAGCCAGCTCCTGTTTTGAAAGATAAAATTCGTTTTTTATTTCCTTTATGAAGAAATTATAATATGAATTATAATATTACTAAAAAAAAATATATATCTAAATCATATATAATTATATTTTGTAGATACATATTGATTTGAAAATCATATAGGAAATTTTTCTATTAAAATTATATCTATTATTAAAATTTGTATGCTATATTTAATTATTTATTTATATTTATATCTTATACATTTATAAATTATTATAATATATTTTAGAAAAAAGATAAATTACTGAATACTATTATTACTTCATATTTTTAAAAATAGTTATCTTAAGTGAATATACTTTTATCGTTAAATGTATGAGTAATAGTAAATATATGAAAAATCATATAAATTTTTACAAATTATTATGTTTGAAGCCATTATTATATAATTTTTTTTTTAATTGCAAAAATAGAATAAGAAGCTAATGCTCATCTTTGGTGCAATAAATTTTCTGAAAACATTTAGAATATATAAACTTTTTAGATTTTTATTATTTTTCGTTATCTTTGAGATACTATTGTTATTGTAAATTTATAAAAATTATTATTAATATATTCGTGGAATATATGGACTTTTAAAATTTTTGATTGAGACTTATTTATTAATTATAAGTTATAAGCAATTTAAGTTTATATTAAATGAATACAACAGTGTAACAAAGATAGAATTGTCTTACTCTTTCAGCTTCACTTCATTTAACTTCAATTGCTTATAATTTAATAAATAAGCTTCAATCTTCATATTTATATATCAATATTAATGTTTTTAATCTCTAAAATTTGAAAAATATCTCATGAATATTTTAATATCTTGTATAATATTTTCTTTTTTTAATATTTAATATTTAATATTTAATTATATAATTTAAAAGTAGATATTTGAAAGTATATTAATGAATTTCTTCAAAATTTTTTATAATGTAAATGCACAATAAATTTGAAGAAATAATTTTTTATTCAATAAATTGAGAAAATAGTTATAACATTATTATAAATTTAATTTATTAATTTTTGTTATTCAAATAGCCATACATATTTTTTATAAAAGATAAAATATTTTTATAATTTATAAAATTATAAAATACCTTTAAATAAGGGACAGATTTGACCAAGAGCACCGATAGGTCCTCTTCGTGTAAATTGTCCAATACTAAGTTCCATATACAATAATGGTACTCCACATACTATAAGTATTAAGAAGTAAGGTACCAAGAACACACCTGAAAAATTTCATAAATTTTAAATTCAATAATCTATAGATTTTATTAGATTATCTATTTTCGCAATTATTAAAAATATATAGCAAAATTAATATTAACTTTTGTTAAGATTGAATTGTGATTGTTAAAGAGAATAATTATAATATATATAAATAGTTACAAATTTACAAATAGTTACAAATTTAAATTGAATATAATTTATAATTTCTAGTATTAAATGGAACTCTATATAAATACTTTTAAAACTGTTGATAATAGTACAAAATATGCATGATTCAATATAAATAATTAATTTATAGCTGGATTTATAGAAAACTTATGAAGATGAATTTTATTTCTTTAAACATAATCATATATTTTTGCTATTTGCTAAACAATTATTAGTTTAATGTAATTATTAGTAAATATGATTCTCAATTTATAAATCATAAATCTCAAACAGATTGTAAAATGAAAAAATTATTTTTATTTATAATTATGTAAAAAATTCTATAATAAAAATTTTCAGTATTTATTTATTTCAATATAAATATTTATCATTAGTATTTTTATCAAAATATAATAAATATAAAAGTAATTTATAATGGTGACATTGAAAAAAATATTCAAAATTTATAATATAGTCATATATTAAATTCAAAAATTCATAATTTTGCTTTAAAATTTCTACTCAAGTTTAATTCATATTTATAAACAAAATGTTATTTATGTACTTTACATATTTTATCTTATAAAAAATATATTTTTATATAATTATAAAAAGAGACAAAGATCGGATTAAAAAATCTTTTCAATATTTTAATAAGATTCATTATGAATCATCATAATAAAGATTAAGCTATTACGTTTTAGTGTAACGTTTCATATATTTTCTCACAGAGAAGGAAATAACAACTTGGGTCGTTTAATACATCAAGAGATACATATATGATTCTATTTAAGAAGACATATTTGACCTTTGTAGATCTTTTACTCGTCCACTTACAAAAACATTAATAACAGCAAATTATATTTTGTTTGAAATCATTAATCTTTTAACATATAATTGACATATAATTTTTATCTGGAATATTTTTCTTTATCAACAACTTTGAAAATAATCACTTAATTAAAACATTTTTTAATTATAGATACGATTCTTCGAATTGTGCACGTTCAATTATTTAATTTTTTGATAAATTTTTCAGTACCAAGATATTTAAATAAGATATAAAAATTACGCATATTTTTTTTTTGGATCCATTATCCTATGATAAATACAAATTTTGAATATATATTATTTTTTCTTTGTATTTTTCTAATTTTAACTTTATTTTTTCTCTTTATTTTTTACATTATCAATAAGACATGTCATTTAAGTTTATTAATTTTTATTTATTATTTTTCTAATATTATAAATCATTTTAAAATGATTTTAAAAAAAATCTATAAAAAATTCTGCGTTACGTTTAAATGTTACAATATAAGTGTAAATATTACAATATTATATGTTAATATTATAATATTACAAATTTCTCGAAAAACTGTGAAATGGTAATAAAATATGTTTTGAAAGAGAAATTGTGAAAGAGATGAAAAGTTATTTAATTAATAAAATTAAATAAGTATAAACTTTTAATGTAAGAATATAATCTATTCACAATATTACATATGTATATATATAATTTTTGTACATAATATATATACAAAAATAAAGCTCTCAACATTAGATTATTTTACATATGAAAATTCTTATTATTATTTATACAAAAAAACGATTGTTCTATAATTTTTTATTTAAAAATTTATGAACAGAATTCACATTGTTAAGAAATTTTGATTTCAAATCAAATTTCAACAGAAAAAATAAGATATATAAGATAAAAAATTTATAAATTTACCTAATTACTAATTAAATATAATACATTTTATTACCATTTTTTACATTTTAATCCAATTTATAATTAAATTGAAAAATCGATTATAAATTTGAAATTTATTTCATCGTCTTAAAAATAATAAAAGTCTTATCCACCGATAATAGCATGTTCCAACGTTATAAATAATTCATCATCTTGTGATCCAATATTTCTGCGATTAAACGCTTCCTTCTTTAATTCTTTTTATTCGTACATGAAATAAAAACGCTGTTACTAAATCTGCGTGTAATGTGGATTTATTAAAGGTTGCATTAAACACGACTCATACGTAATAGTACTCGTCGTTAATCGTCATTCTGTGGGCAGTAACAAGGTCACTGGATGTAACTCTTTATTCGTAATAAACGGTGATCACAGTCCCGTGGATTACGACTTAATTTGGGAACAAGCATTTAGTTCGACTAAATTGCTGAAATGTGTTATTGTTTTTCATAACAGATCTCATATCCACAAATTTTTCTCCCATATCACAAATCATCATATCAATATGTTTTCTATTATCATATATAATATTAATTGGTGTCGTAAGATTTAATCTCTTGAATTAGGAAAATTTATTCTCTTGACGAATGTACGAACTTTTTTGTGTTAATGAAATCTTTCAAATAATGAGAAATTATTATTGAAAAAATCGATTTGAAAAGATAAAAATAAATAAACTTTGATTAAAAAATTAGAAATATTTTGTTAAAAATTATTTTTGATATTATTCTTAAGTAAAGAACTTTAACAAAATTATATTAATTATTATTTTCAGGTAATATTTCAAGTAATTAAATGTCCATAATTAAAAATATTTTATTAAAAAACTATTTTTTATATTCATAAGTTATAAAATTATTAAATTACTTATTTTGTTTTATTTTTATTCGAGTTTTTTCCATTAATTATTTATATAAAATATCCTATGATAAATTTAATGTACCTATCGTAAAAATTTGCTTTCTAGATAATATAACCATTGTTTACGGTTGTATCATTGAAATAATTCGTACCGCATCAGTGCGCCTCACGCATATGTAAATTAATTCTACGAATATCGTATCGTGCCAGTCGGACAAATCAGACAGCAGTCTCTGATCTGACTTTGTGATTCATGTTGCAATTTAATAAGATAACCATTTCGATGGACATTGTAAATTTACGTTGTAAATAATGATACCTTCATTCTTTATTTCTTCGTTTACGCTTTGAAAGAATTTTTTTTTCTCACGTATTATACCGATAAGTGTATAAATATCCACTGAGGTTTAATTAACTTCTTAATCATGCACAATAAAAAAAAAAAAAGAATCTTAAATAAAGATTTTCAAAAAAAATTTAGGAAAAGAAAAATGTTTACTAATCTAAAAGGATTAGTTTATTTTGTGTAATTGATAAAAAAGAGCAAGTAGATATCTGCAACGATTTCGAAGAAAATAGCTTTTAATACTTTACGTAAACCACCCTGTATATCTCTCCAAATAAAAGTGATAACGTTAATTTCCGTGGAATTTTCGTTCTTTCCTTTCAACACGAATTTTCCCACGAGAACGTAAATGAACACAGGTCGTATAAATACACCACGAGCTTCATGCAAATCAGAGTACTCTATCTCATGTTCTACAAATCTTCGTTTCATTTAACGCTCTTTCAAAAGCATTCTTTATAATTCTTTTAGGGAAATAAAATATTTATACGATGATATAATTTTCGAGAATTAAAAACAATACAATTTTTTATTTTCATTAAAAATATTATATTATAAACAAATTGTAATTAAAAAAAAATTGTAAATGTTATTTTTTTTTAATTAATTTTAATACAGTTAACGAGAAAAATAAATAATTTGTTTTCAATGATAAATTTTAATTTATTATTTTAATAATAAAATTATTATTTCTTATAACTATATAGCTATATTATATAGGCTACATAAAAATCATTGCAATTTATAAAGAAATACTAATTGAAAAAATATATTTTTTCATATAATAATTAAATTTTAATTTCAATTTTTGACGAAATTTCAAACTATCATTGATTTATAATATAAAAAAAATTGCTTTTTATTAATGATAAAAAAATAAAACACACAATTTATTGATTTATTGCTATTTTATTAATAAAAAATATCATTTTCTATTAAATGCAATTCTGCATTCTTATTATACAGAACAATCCAAAATTTAATATCATAATAAATCGCTTGTTTTTTATATTTGCATCTAACTTATACTATACAATAGAATACTATATAGCAGCAATAAATAAAATAAAAATATTTACTACAACAACTGCAATACAGAATATTTTGAGCAATATTTTTGACAAAAGAGATTTCACAACTTTACTTCATTATCTTCTTATGTATTATCTAAATTAAAAAATTACATGTTTATATTACTCTTAAAAACGAATTTTGCCCCAAGATCTTCAATTGTTTCGTTTCCAACTATTCGAATCGTTTCATTATTCCATTTAATTTCGTTTAATCAAAAACATAATATTTCAATTACTAATCACACATAACACTAACAGCCGGTTTCCGCTCGGGCTTCCAGCCTCGATTTCCATTATACTTATGACAATTAAGCCGAAAGTTTGAACCTAGCCTAACCACTATCACAGCTGGATCGCAGTTTGTTATTACGAAGGGAGCGTGTCAGTTGGCCATGCTGAAATCAAACCGTGCCACTCGCTCTGGTTTTCCGGCCGTCCAATTTAAACGGTTGGTCGAAATGATACTTGACCGATTACTTCCACCGGTGTCATTGAAATCATTTGCTATGCTCGCCGGTTTAGCTACGTTCCGGCAAGGTCATGTATCAAGTTCCGCGAGCGAATTGCCCCCATGTCCGGGCTCAGCTGAGATGCTCTCACAGACTTTGAAAATTACCGGTAACACGAGATACCGCAACTCGTGTTACGGTTTGCCGAACTGAGAGAATGCGTGCCCTTGCTCTGGATACACGTGCGCCATAATGGCGAGCAAAGAGGGATGTTGGGGAGAAAAAATGGCGGCGAATCGCCTTGACAGCTGACAACTTTAAACATTTCTTCCATACGGGGAGAGGGGGGGGGGAGGGAAGGGGGATATTCTTCTCGAGGATGATGTTATGATCGTTTCTTTATTTCGCGTTTTATAATTGGACAAGTGATTCTTTCTTTAACCCGTATTCATTTTCTTTTCTGATCCTTGTTTTTATATGTTGTAGTATTATTTTGAGAAATCTTTTAATTAAGAAAATTATTTTAATTTAATTAATGAATTTAATTTTTTTGTTTAGTTTATTCATAATAGAATATAAAAAAGATCTCATATTGTCCAAAATGTTCTGTATTATAGTAATAATTAAAATAAATGTTTTTATTTGTTAAATTTTATTGCGTAAAATATTTTTTGTAAAATAATTTTATGAAAATACAGAAGTATATGTATTTTTGTTTTATCATTTAAAAAATATTGAATGTATTAGCGAGAAATATAAAAAGTTTATTACAGTTTTAAAACCTAGAAGAATTTAGATTGAATAACACAAGAAAATTATTATTCTATATTATTTTTTGATAAATTATCTATTAATCTTATTCAATTCTTAATAATTTTTTCTGTAATATCAGAATGTAAACAATACTAGATATTTGTTTTATTGTGATAAATATTAAAATGTTCAATATGACCTTTCAAGTCAAAGAATGTTTATCATCATAATATTAAGTATGTGTTATCTCGTGCAATATTGCGTGCTACTGCATATGAAGAAAATTATTCTGAAAATTAGTAATGTTAATCAAATACTTCTTTTTTCTAAACAAATTTTTTCTTTATTATTCATGTTGATAAAAAATATATGCTATATTTTAATTTTTATCAAGAAAATGAGTAAAAAAGAATAATTATATTTAGATAATTGATGTCTGAACCTCGCGATCAATTTTTTGAACATTTGAGAATAACATTAAGACTTCGCATTGTACAATATATTTGGTTTAGAACGATTTTCTAGTTATTAGTCCATTTTTCGCTTAAGTGACACGTTTCACACCGGCAATGTGAATAATAAACACGTATTCTTATCACTGGTACACTAATCGTAACAGACGTATGTATGTCACAACGAGCAACATCTAGTACGTACAAATTTGTTTTAAACTATTTGTTTGAAGTATATATCGTATATATCATGAGAAAAATATTACATACAGTAGCTTTCACTGATTTTTTTTTATTATTGCCATATTTTTATTGCCATTCACATGTTTCTATTTTTTATTATTAGAAATTAAGTAAAATTTTAATATTAAAATGTTTTATTATAGGAAACAGCGGAATTCCTAGATTTTATTTTGAGTAAAATTTGCGTGAAGAATATTTGTTACCTTCTTAAGAGCATTTACAAGTGAAATTATGCAAACGCATGCAGATACTCACCACCGCCACTTTTGTAACAAAGGTAAGGAAACCTCCAAATATTACCGAGGCCAACAGAGTAACCGATACAAGCAAGGACAAATTGCATTTTGTTGGCCCAATGTGGTCGTCTAGATTGTCTGTAGTCTCCTGGGTCCTGAGCGTCATCTTCAGCATCGTCGAAGCTGGTACATACGGACAAGTCATCTTCGAATGATCTGAAACCAAGTCGATATTACAGGTTCATGAATTATCTAAAATAGAGAGTTATTAATTTTTATAAAAATATATATTTTTCATAGAAACGTATTCCATAAAATTTTGAAATAAAATTCAATGAAAAATGTTACAAGTCAATATCTTTTTGAAATATAATCAGTCACAGAAATATTCTTATATTACTTACTCGAAAATTCTGATTTTTAAAAATTTGTGTATATGTATAGAGTAATGAATTATTTATAGTCGACAAGAAATCTCTTTGATATTTTTTACAACAAAGTAATAGAATATTAAAAACTAAACATTTTAAAATTCAAAATTTTGCTCTATTTTTATATTACAAAGTTATTTAAGTTATTTAAAAAAACGAAAAAGTACTGAAAATTTCAATTTGATTAAAAATAAAAAAAATTTAAATAAAAAATTTAAGAGATTAAATTTAGAATATAAAAATATTTCTGTAATTGAATGTATATATATATTTAAATATTTCACGAATTTTATATAAATGAATGAATTAATTTATTTTTTAATTTTTCAGGAATATTCGTAGACAAATTATTATCAAAAAAGTAATTTAAAACATTTTTTATTTATTTTATTTTTTTTATTTAATAACGCAATAGCACATTCTTTTTTGGATTTAATTTCCTTTGAACTTTGTTAAAAGATCTAATTCTTAAAAGACAATAAAGATCGTTTAAATAAAATATATATCATTCAGATAAATTTTTTTTATAAAATCTATTATTCGCATATAACAACTCATTATATGCATTCGATTACAAATCACAAATTACATATTGAAGGTAAATTGAATTTACATAGAACATATTATTGTAATGAATGATTGCATTTATCATAATATTCAATACACTTTGTTTTGTTTTCCATCTGAGAACAATATGTTTTCTATTAAATGATAATAATATTCACAAATTCTTTCTATATATATATTGAAAGAAAGTTTCGAATCCTATTTTCTTTATTTTCTGCATCAACAATTTTCAAACAATTTTATTAATATTTAAAATTAGTGCTACACATAATCTTACGTATTTCAAGAAATTTTGTATAAAAAAAATTTTCTGCGCTAAACAATATGCTATCCCTTTTTATATCTTAAGCAATACATAATTCTAAATTGGACATAATTCCAAACTTCTGATCGGTAATAATGTAAGCTCTTTTCTTACGAAATCTTTTCTGGCAAACCGGTTACCTCGAGACATAGTTTCTCCTGGAGAGAAAGAATTCTAAATCAACGGAAGTTTTAACTATTTGATTTATCGTGATCGTTAAGAGGACGTGAAAAAAAAAAATTGATCGTGAACGCGTTTTGACGGACATCAGGATAAAGAAAGAAGAAACTCGAGGCTGTAAGGGGCCCATATTATGATTAACGATCGTGCGAAACACGGGATGGTATAACGGTAGCGATGAACGACCTTGATATCCCGGCTATTATATAACCGGTATGAAAGAATGAAGAAGAATTTTTACGAGTTTATCGCGTATCCACGTGTATCCGTAGGGCATAGTGAATGCAGAAAATGCCGCTGCGACACAGTGAGAGTTATGGCAATTGGCAGACCTCGATAATAAATACGACACACCTGTGTAAATTCACCGGCCACTTCGCAATGTAAAAACAATACAATGTAATGGATACGCGACCTATATGACGATAATAATAAGTTATTACATATACATATTTATGTGTCATAACTAAATTTCAAGCGTAGACGTAATACGTTCATTGCACAATTTCAACGTGGCGCGTTAATAGTTGTAAAAATATCCGTAAATATAGAATTTTAAATTTTCACTTCTCTCTCTCTCTCTCTTTTTTTTCTTTTTTTAAAAATACGTGAAATTTAATTTGCAACTTCTTCAGACATGATAATGAATCGGTATGCACAATTTTCGAAGAAGAATACAAATTTTTCAATTATAGAAGCATACAAAAATTCATATATAGTGATTTTGAGAAATGAAAAATAATTTGTAGATGAATTTATTAAAATAATAATAATATATTAATTTAAATAATGTTTATTTAAATAAAAAGTGCATATGTGACAGTGATTGTAAAAAGAAATAACGATGATTTGAATTAATTTTGAAGAGGTATGAAATTAAAGCATATAGTAAATTTTAACTGGAAACAAATCAAATAAAAATA